GCCTACACTTCCAGACATTCACTCAGGCAATCTGGACAGAAACTGACAACAAGAACGCCACTGACATCGGTTGGCAGCCATATCTTGTAGTGTCTCCAACCAGGCACAGTGAGGATCACGTGGTCCCCATCCTGGAAGCCGAGTAGCACCGACAGCACCCAAGCGTTTCGCGATCTCCTTCATAATCCCCTGCCAAGTCAAGGGTTGGTCACCTCTCTGTTTACGCCACTCTGAAGTGGGCATGGAAAGCAACACTCTCTTCGGCAAGCGATGGTTCGGCATACGCAACACCCCAACCAACCGACGCAGCTTCTAGGGCTGGACACAATGTTCAGTGGAAGTTGCCTCACGATCCGCGTGAAGGTGTAACACACTTACGGATTTTTAACACATGTCCCAACCGACGCAGCTTCTAGGGCTGGACACAATGTTCAGTGGAAGTTGCCTCACGATCCGCGTGAAGGTGTAACACACTTTAGCACGGATTTTTCTCACGAAATGAATTCCCCCATTTTTTGTGTGATTCCCTCACAGGTAAAACAGTCATTAATAAAGGACCATTGTTGGCCGGTCCCTCTGGGATGGTTTTTCAATGTGCCTGCCAAATCTCAAGCAATTGGACGCTTTAAACAGTGAATCAGGCCATTACTGTCCGAGCGCTAATTACTGCCAAAAAAGGCAATTCTTTGGAACCGTCAAGCATAGGCTGCATATACAAACTTGGGAACAAGCATAGCGAACAACTCAGATGGGGAGGAAAAAAGGATTGGAACTTGACGAGGTCTCACAAGTGCCATGGAATGAGAACGCTCGAGTGACATCGAATGTACCAGTTAACTGGCGCAACTCCTGAGCATAAATACAGAGTTTTAGTACAGTGAAAAAAAAGGCCGGCATGCTAAGCTGAAGCGAATAATTGCGAAACCGTTTGATAAAGATTGCAGTGCGATGCAAAGGGATGATAGCCACCATTGCCTCAGTGCTCTTCAGGCCAAAGTGGTCCCGAAAAGCTTGGACTGAAAACAAATCGGAAGGAGCTTCTGGAACGAAGGCATTCCCCCGCTCAACGAAAGCGAAACACCAGCACAAGGGGCATGTCAGCACTAGTTTGGAGAAGCCTGTGACTGCTAAGTAGAATGGGTGAAACTTCATGCGGCTGAAGGTAATGCGTACCAAGAGGTCGACAATAAACGAATTGTTATAACCATCGGATAGACGGATTCCTTTTGTTTATGCTGATTTGTCAAGCATATCAGTTCATAGTACCATAAGCTTCGACAGACAGCAACCTGGATTTGGCAGGACACAGGGGTGCCTTACCATGCCCTTATTTGGTGGAACAGTCATGTGTCACTGTAGCAGTCCAAAAGTGTGTAAACTCGTAGTGTCGTGTAACGAACTTAGGCGTTAGCATCTGACCAATCCAGCCAAAGCGCACAATCCCACAGTAATTTGACAGATATGTCAACATGACCGGCTCAGATTGCACGGAATCTACAGTGCGACAGAGAAAGTCCCGAAACAAAGCAGACAGAACGAACTGCTCATATTGATAAAGACCCTTTGACTGTTTCAGAAGAGCTTGGTAAACAATCGGTAGTTTATCTGGGCAACGTTTCGCTTTTGACACAAACGCTTCACCAAGCCAAGTGAACAGGTCACCAAATTGAACAGGTTATAAGACAGACGGGGAACCAATAAGTAAGTCCTCTTCAAACTAGATCAGTGTTGAGTGTCAATTAACGGCTCTTGTCGGTTAGTGTGGGTGTCAAAATCTTGAATTGATGGGTTGGAGGGGTTCCAAATTAATTCTGATCGCTTTTCGTTCCTTAATCTTCCACTTCAGGGTGCTTCAATTGATGATTCCCCTCGGTTTCCACTGGTAGATTTTCCTGGGTCTTTGCGGGTTTGTGGGTGCTCCGACAATTTAGTCTGAGGGGGGTTGAGGTCAAGTGGAATTCAGATGATGAATACTCTTCCTTCTGATGACCGCACACCAACGTGTCAGCCCGAGTGACCCAAGACCGTTCTCCACACGCTAACCAGTTACACGCCTTCCATTCTGTTAACGCTAGAATGCCTGGTGATTTCTACCACCTGTTCACTTGGCCTGATGAAGCTTTTGTGTCAAAAGCGAAATGTTGCCCAAATAAAAACTACCGATTGTTTACCAAGCTCTCCTCAGACGATGACTTCTCAATCGGTTCCAAAATTTTTCCAACTGGTGGAAAACCCTTTGACTGGTTTAGTGGGAAGCTTCATACGAGGGCATAAAATGTTCGATAATTTGACTGCTTTCGATAGTGTGACCGCTTTAGTGCCTGGTGTGTATTACTCCATCATTGTACCGCTACAGTGGGAAGTCGTTAATAACTACTGGCAACTACGTCAACTGAGTGAATACTAGAGTAGTTCTAAAGACTCATTCGAAGCACTGAGGACTGTGGTTCTTTCCGACCATCAAGGTCAGTCGGGTTTCTCCGGAAACACCAAATGATACGGAGACTGTAAACTATCCTTTCATAAACTCCCCTGGAGTTCAGCTTTTGCTTGCAAAATCGAAATAATTTCAGTACCCAAGCTGTAAAACTACACTAGAACGAAACTTTTAAGGGGTCTACTATTTCCCGGAGCTTCCCCATGCAGCATTTGAAGCGCCACACTGTGCTGAGTTTGGAAGATGAAACAATACTGTTGGTCTTGGAACACGGAACGCTCGCCTCGTATGCGGTACTTAAGAGATCGTGTTGAATCGTATCATCAGAAATTAGAAAATTTCTCGCCGTCATTCACAGGAAGTATGCCAACGAGTCTATTCCACCATCCTAACCGTAGACGCTAATGCTTTCTGCTATCCTATACGCCCTTGAAGTTATATATCCTCTTAAGCATTTCACAGGCTATGTCGATGGAGCCCATTCCGCTCCAAGTACAGAGGTGGGAAATTCTCTTCGCCAGTTCCCCTTATCGGTTCAGATAACTCAGTCACCCATTAACTCTATGAATAATGAGCAACGGAAGAAGCAAAGTAATGAAATCGGTGGGCTTAAATTTGATCCTAGGCGTGCAATACATGACAAACGCTAATTTCTGGTGGTGACGGGTACGGAGATGTCCAGGTACGATTAAAGTGACCGTCTCTCGCAGAACTTACCGATCAATCGTGTGGACTTAGATACGTTGAAGGGTGAGATGGCTCAAGTGATTAGAGCGCGAATTTACTGAACGAAAGGTCCTTGTTTCGAACCCGACCTGTCTCTCGACTTCTTCTGTCTAGGTCTGGACAGCCTGGCAGTATCCCAGCCCTCGTGCTTCCTTCGGGTAGCATGGCAGCTAGGCACCAGAAGGGTGTTACAGCTGAACGAATTAGGCACGTACAAAAGTATCAAATGTGCCTGGATATTTCCAGGATACTAAGTGCACCTGGTAACTGAGTTCGGAACTAACACACTTCTACATAGCATTTGAGTAGTATGTATGTATGTGGCAAACCATTCGACACTGGTACACCGGGTAGGTTCTTGATTTGCGCTGTCGAAAAAACGTCCAGTGGACTTGCTATTCTTAGGAGCACACGTAGACTTGATTTCAAGTCGGATAATTGACACTGACGGCATTTTGATCGAAGTTTAAAAAACCGTCGAAAATTAGTCGTTGGTCTGTAGCTATAAGGTCAACTACCCAGGTTCTCAAAATTCAACAGAAGCTTCAAGAAGTTTCAAGTGTAGGACAGTCCCTACTAAAGCCGTTCCCATCAGAAGTGGGCTAATGTACAGGGTTTCTTTCGTGCAATCAGACGAAGGCCCTCAGTGTGTCGATTCTCGGTGTTGATAAACACTAACAATTTGTCGAATTGGATCAAAGTTGTGAGTCAGAAATTTATCAACACAGCATCGTAATCAATATTGCTTTTCTGGATGCCAGCATTTGGGGTTCCCGTCTGCTTATTGTAGTTAGGAACGCTTGGCGGCTCAAATGAGTGAACTGCGGTACCTCGCAATCGAAGAAGCTGGGTTTCAAATAGTCGTGGTTCTCCTGTGTTTTGAAATATCTTTGGCTTCCCACTGAAGGGAAGGCGCACTGCATATATTTCTAGCAAACAGCAAATGAATTGGTGAATCGATTTTCTAAAAAGGGCTGAATCACGAGCGGCTGGATGGACTGCGATATTCATAGTAAAACCACAGTAGCAGTGCGATCTGAGGCTGTTGTAAGTTTCGTGTGGCGCTGAACAGCCGCAAAGCATCGTTTGGAGGGTAGTGGAGAAGCTGGTTCTATATTGGGTTTGAAGAGGCGCTATATGCTCCAAAAGACCACTTTCGATAATCCACCAGAAAAATTCGTTTACACATATCCTCTCCGAGCACCCTTCAGAGCTTCGGCTCGTGGACTAGCATTCTTGCCATGTTCTCCTTGGAAGGCATTGGATCAAAGCTTAAAAAATAGCCACATCGATCACTGTGAGGTATACATATCGGGCTAGAGCGTTATTTTCGCGTCCTTTTATCAGTACGTCCAGGGAAACGGGGAGACTGTCATTTGCCTCTCCCCTGTGAGACAGTCTATCCACCGTTGCAGGGACATATATTGGCAGATGCCCAGTCGAATCACGAAACATGGTAATGCCCTTACCCTTATGGGAACCCTGCACTTGAAATTACCACCAAAATGGATCGCCCACTAAAGTGCATTCCATCATCTAATAGAGGGCTCCCTGAATCCTTCATCCGTGATTCAAAGATGCAAAGAGGCCGTGAACTACCAGCAAAAGCTAAGCAAATTTTATAGCATTCTGTATAAGTGGTCGTAAAAAACACGTGGAGTGAGACTAAAATGGTCTATCAGTCAATCACGGAAAGGGAGCAATCCAACGATTATAAAGCCATGCAGTCAGAATATTAAATCGGTATGTGCTGCGTGCAGACAGGGATAAAAAGAATATAGACAATAGTTAAGATTGATATGTAACAGCAGAATGGACTTACTTTGTTTGAAAATCCAACTGATGGCGTAAATGAACGGATCCTGCAAATGCATTGTACGCCCGAGAGAGATTGACTGGGCGCTGCTTGGTGAATGTTGCAGACAGAGTGCGATGAATCAACCTGACAAGCGATTTGGGGTGACGAAAATTGCCAAGGAGCTTTTCAAATCTAGATTGCGTGAAAGATGGCGGCTTTATATACACCCTGGGAAGCTTCGAAAGTTGGTCATTTGTGTTCAGCACTTACCTGGAAGGTCCCCGGAAGTCTCGTAACCACTTTTCTCAGCTTTACAAAATTGCGCAAGTAACTGACACCCAGGCGGAAGAAAGCCCGCAGTGACATGTTATCTCAATTCAATGCACTACACATTTCAACCTGACACTCGCCCATCAAATGATGACCTTCCTATAGACGATTTGTGGTTCACAAGTTGTAACCCACATGGGACCTGAAAATAAGGAAACAGCGGAATATGAATGTACGTCTATCGTCATCATACCTAATAATGACTAACCAGTCTAAGAGAAAAACCAAACAGCTGTAACACCATGATATCTTTGAAGTTGATACTTGAAAGGGGAAAACTGAGGTATCTACTAGAGTGACAGGTACTTGGCACCGACGTTAGGTAGGTAAACGGAGTGGAAGCTTCACTGGCCAGAGATATAAGCTAGAAATATAAGCAAAAATAGCAGTAACTTCCAACCGATACTCACCCATACGTGGCAAGACAGGTCACTTTTACCGAAGCCATCGGTATTTGGTTCATTTAGGCTGGCAACCTGATCGCAGTTCACAAACGCCAATGAAATGCACGAACACATTTCCGAACATCAGGGAATGAAACTAGTCGGGGAAAATTTAGAAGCGTACGTTTACTTAGACAGCATCGAAGAGGACGGGAATAGCTAGTCATGCTCGAGATGTGGTCGTTGCAGGAGGAACGAACAGTCCATCTTTTGCACATAAAAAGACAATGGTTCAGCTGTAACACCCTTTCCACACATGACTGAGATGCCACCAGAAGGAAGCACGAGGGCCTGGATACTGCCGGGTTGCCCAAGCCTAGAGGCAGGGGAAGTCGAGAGGCAGAGGTCAGATTCGAACTACGGAACTTCTGGTCAGTGAATTCGCGCTCTAACCACTGAACCATCTCGTCCTGGTAAGCACAAACACGGTCCTACTAAGTGTGTTGCCACAAGAAGGGTCTTTATGAGCTACTCGAATGGTTTCCAGTTTGCTGTTCGGAATACGGTTTGAAGACTTATGCAAACCATTATAGTCCGCGTTGCTGGGTTACTCCAAACGGGCAGAGAATATCAAAACAACACTTCCTGTAAACTCTGCCGTCCTAATGTATTTTCCCTAGTCGCTGTAAGCGATAGCAACCGAATGTTTTAGAGGTACAAATATTGTTAGTTCGAAGTGTGACGGTTTCGATAACGCCGCGAGCAAACGATGATATGAGCGGACTGTGCACATATTCTATTCCCAGCTATGTTACCTGATCCCGACTCCTAGTACAGCGGAATAGTAAGAAGACGAAACTTTGGACACAGCAGAAAAGCATCAGTGTCAACACTGATGTTGCTGTCTTTGATGGTGATGATGCGACAGATATTTCCATCCGGAATGGAAAGGCCAGAGCAGCTTTTATGAACCCGCATCACCCGATGCATAGACGTGATCTCAGCGTATCTGTCAAGGGTCGAGTTTACAAGGTTGTGGTGCGCTCCATATTATCATAGGGATCAGAAACCTGGCTGCTGCGGGCCGGGGACGTCAAAGACTTTCAGTGTTTGAATACCGACGTCTTCGGAGCATTGCCCAAGTCTGGTGGCAACACCGGAACACAACAGTACCGTCACGAAGAGACTGGACCTTACCGTGGTGTGACGGTTTGCGCACCTCAGCGATCCATTGAGCTATACTGGAGAGTGTCCCGCGACACTCACAGAGTCTCTCATACCAGGTTGGTCAATGGTTAGAGGTCTGACGAACACAGTCTCCTGGCCCTCCAGGTTGGGGGTTGGAACATGTGGCGACTTGTTCCGTAGAAATGATAATGCATTTGTATTTCCCGCCAAAACCGCTGCCTTGCGGTTAGGCTTTTGAGCCAAAGGCTTTGACTGAGGACCCTAATCGTCCTCCTGTCTAGGTGTGGGCGCCCTGGCAGTATCCCAGCCCTCGCACAACCATGACCTACACAACTAACAATATTCTCATGCCACATCGGCCGTCGCGTGGTACCATCAGCCGGGTCGCCTTACTTGCTGCATACAGCAGGGCGGGTAAGCGAAAACAGGCTACTGCTGACGCCTCCCTTCGTTCTCCTTCACATACTTTTTCTTCCCCCTCTCCCCACCCCATTAATAACTCTCTCCTTGTAGGCCCAGCACCTAGGACTGATGACTCCGTTCGTCATACATCGGTTTTGCGTGCAGCATCTGCTCATCACATGGTGCCGACATCTCCAGGCATCTCCAAATCAGTCCTCAAGCCTCGACACCCAGTCTATCTGGCCGCGTTCAATGTTCACACTCTGAAGCAAGCAGGACAACAAGCTGCTCTTGCACTCACACTGGACT